TTTCGCATGTATGAAAGTGGGTTTTGAATTAAATTGTTAGATATGAATTTAGCTGGTGCAAAATCCGTTAATTTAATATCAATGTTTTTATAGTTCTATCAGAGAAATGTTCGCCTGACTCATGGTAATTTCTCGTAATGTTGAATTTTTACATTATAAGTCCTCTTTGAAGTACCCTTCTACTTTTAATTTGTTTATTACATATGTTTTATCGTTAGTTTATTTATAAAACGTTCCTTTCGATCTCAGAGAAAAAAAAACTCAAGGTGTAGTTTTTGAATAATTTTATCTCTACAGGAAAATCATTAAAGATCCCTTATAATGAATGAGTGTTATCGTGTTTACGCAGTTATAGTTAAATGTAATATTAAGGAAAATGTTGTCTGGACAATCGTGGGCATCGCAAGGTTTATCCAGCGGAAATCTCCATAAATAACTATAGCCTTGAACGGATATTACGGGCGACTCGGGGAGGGAAAACCGATAGAGCGTCTCAAATTGTCATCGTATATGACGTTAACATTCGAGGCTGCTCCAAAATTGAAACAAAATTAAATAAGGAAGATTTTGGACAATTAGTAATTAATATATTTCGCTAGTTAACCTACTGTTATAAACTACGTAACCATTGAATGATATTTTTAATTATAATGTTACATTGCGTCTCAAATAGTCATCGTATATGATGTTAACATTCGAGGCTGCTCCAAAATTGAAACAAAGTTAAATAAGGAACATTTTAGGCAATTAGTAATGAATATATTTCGTCAGTTAACCTACCGTTATAAACTACGTAACCGTTGAATATAATATTTTTAATTATAATGTTACACTGGCATAAAAAAATGTCCTCTTATTTAACTAAATTATTTAGTTCAACTAATTGAATGGCTTTACATTTCTTTCTATTTCTTAGGTAATATTACGTGAACACCGGAACGTGTTGCTACGAACACTGACTAATACGATATTGCATAATTTATTGTATTTTCCGATTTTAGAAATGTTTTATCGATCTGCCTTACAGTTTAACTGCATTTTAATACCCTCTTGATATATTTTTATTCCAGTTAATGAAGTACGTAATGCGGTTATAAACCGACATGTTAAGTTTGCACCTAAAAAGTCACTGGAATAACTTCGTTGCTCGAGAGCCAATTTTATCTCTGTGTGCAATTACCTAGTTTTAAATGCAAGTTCAAGGTGAATAGAATATTGCTTACAGGAATCGATAAAACCCGTTTTAAGGACCATTTGCGTCAAATCTGCTTAAATTTTAACCACCGCCTAAAAATAGAAACAATTTCCCCGTGCTTTTTAGCAGGAATATTTTCTCCCCAATTTCGCGACAATTGGTTAAAACGTCCATTAGCTGAAGTTTAGATTGTTTGATAAATATCGTTTCTCATTATTAGTTAAAAACTTTTCGTAAGTTTTCATTGCGGCGGTTGTTTACGAGCGAATCTTATCCCTAGTAGCACAAAATATTTGTCCTATATTTTTTATACATTTAACGAATATTGTACATTTTGTAAATATTTACCAGACATTTGAAATATTTGCAAAACGTTTACTTTAGAATATTATNTAAATAATTAAAACTAAATATATCATTGAGATTTTCAACAAATATTTCAAATATCTTCGAATGAAATCTACGAGAAATCTTAAAAAATCTGTCGCTTGAGATATTTAGCAAAGATTACAAAGAAATATTTAGAAATTACTCCATGCTACTAGGGATGTATCCCTTTTTACAAAATCCTATTCAAATCTATTTTGAATTTAATGGTTTGTTAAGAGAAGTAATTCTTTACGTTTAAATTCTCAGTTAATAATTGGCAAGATGGATGGTGGTTGGGAACTTTCATATTTTATGTAAAGCTTTTAAAATAGCAAACGGAATTAAAAGTGCTCCCTGTGAATTTATAGTTATATTAAAATGTAGATTAATTCATAAGATCCGCTCTGCAGGATTATAAAATAGTACAAAGGCCGGCGATAAAACAAAGTTTAGAAGAACATGGATATAAATCTGCGTCACTGACATTTACCTTCTGTACCTTTCTTCATAGTATACTATATCAGTATAGTATAGTATATATCAGTGAGTCAAATCTATTCATACAGCGCGCAGCTTCCAACGATACTTCCATTTAGGGGATTAAAAAGTTAGTTTATCCGTACCATTGGTATACCTGTAGAAATATTAACTGCAAAAAAAAGGTCATTTATCTTGCCTTGTTCATTTATCGTGCTTCGTTTCGGAAATGAGGAAAATATACGAGAGATATTGAATATTTTATTAAAAATTTCATCGAATAAACGGTGATCAATCTAAACTTTTCGTTTGGGGTTTCCTAATTGAAATTATTTTATAACTTTTAAATTAATAAACAATAGGTAAATGAATCTGTGAATACTAAGTACTGTAAAACGTATAATAATTCACCCTGTGAGCAATTCAGCCGATATATGCACATAAAAAAATTAACTTAAAAAAGAATCTAATGAAATGTCAAAAATTGTTACAGCGTAAATAAGAATTCTGGGTATCGCGTTATTTTGTTTAGCCCCACATATTCGTCGTTAAAGTTTATTAAGATTATAAATGTAGAACATTAGGCGACAATTTCTTACGAGGTAATTCTTTCAAGCGATTTGTGTATTAAGAAAATGTTTATCGAGATTCATTGTGTGTATATGATTTATTGTTTCACGTTGCTTAAAACGCTCTCATTTGACAACAAATTTAGGCGAATACTGATCAGTGTTGTTTCAGTACTCCTTAATTATAATGTGAACATACGACATGGCATATGGTAATGTGGTACACCGTTTGGTGTGTACATGTAATATCCCAACTGGGTACCTTACCCAGCGGTATCATTTGCATGCCAATTTAACACTGCACACAACACCCTACATTAACACCCCAAATTTACGTTAAACAAATTTACCCGTACGTATTATATAGTATAACTGATATTTTGATGAAATATGCAAGATTATATTCAATTCATAATATTTAGCCTTACTTTCCAAATCAATAAATAAAATTAATCACTCATCCCCATTATTCTTTTAGCATCTCGTATCTATCTACCTGTTTGATAGGTAGTTCGCAATAACGATTCGATAAATAATGCCGATTACATATTACTTAACTAAGTATGTAAAGACATTTTTTAAAAAGTTTAGAAATTTATTAACTCGGCATTTAGAGATTAATTTTATCTTTATAGCTTACTCGTTTTCCTTCATTATTTTAACCTCGTAATGAATCAATACAAGTAAAAAATAAGGTGAAAAACCTTTCAATAAGCATCCGATATCCGCGCACTATCAGTCTATAATCACTAAAATGAATCCTTTCCCCCGTAACAACCTGTTGGATGGAAAAGCTCTGCTTCCTTAGTAAATATTAAGAGAAATATGGAAATTAATAAACAATGATGGTAAAAAAAGGCTCGTTCTTTACCTGATATCGGACCTGTTCTGAAATTCCAAGGGTGCATCATGAAGTGCCCATCCGCGATACAGGCCACTCATTTATCAATTAGTCCCCATCCGTAAAAACCTATTAGTCAGGTGTATCAGTTCTGATTCGCAAATGAATCCGGGAGGAAATAAAAAAATCGATTAATATCCCTTTGAAGAAGGGTCTCAACTCCACCGAAAAATTGAACGCGTTCACAGTTTGTAGCGGTGTATTACAAAGTGCACCTCTAGAGATGATTGTTTCATTCATAATAACAATTTTTCTCCCACAAAACTTCTGAAGTAAATGACTCTTGATTCTTAATTAACCGAAATTACAAAATACAAACAAATACACAAAGGAATAAAGAAATCGATAAGTGTTCAATACTTATACCAAATATATAGTGCTGGTTCTTAATTACAGTATGGTTTACAAATATATACTCGAAGAGTCAAAGGAATCCATAAGTACCCTATACATTGCATGGTGTTTTTACCTCTCCTGGAAATCAGATCCATGAGAGGTGAACAACGATGCACCGTGAAGTGCGGGTCTGAAAATCTTATAAGACCATACCATTTATTGTAACCCTTTCTTTCCATATTTAACTTATCGGTAAAATATCTAAGTTCGAATTTTAAAATGAAGCCTGGTGCTTAGTTCTTAATTGAAACATGATTTACCAAGAGATACTCGAGGAATCAAAGAAATCGATAAGAGTCCCATGCATCGCAAGAGGTTTCTACCTCTCCGGGAAGTCGGACCCATGCGAGGTCTGCAATGCTGAGCCGTGAAGTGCGGGTCTGCAAATTGTATCCGACCATACCATTCGTTGTAACCCTTTTTTTCCATATTTAACTTATTGGCAAAATATCCAAATTTTAATTCTTAAATGAAGCACGATGCTTAGTTCTTGATTAAAACATGATCCTTAGATCTTAATTAAAGCATGATGCTTAGTTCTCGATTGAAACATGATTTACCAAGAGGTACTCGAGGAACCAAAGAAATCGATAAGTATCCCATGCATCGCAAGAGGTTTCTACCTCTCCGGGAAGTCGGACCCATGCGAGGTGCACAACGATGCACCGTAAAGTGCGGGTCTGAAAATCTTATAAGACCATACCATTTATTGTAACCCTTTCTTTCCATATTTAACTTATCGGTAAAATATCTAAGTTCGAATTTTAAAATGAAGCCTGGTGCTTAGTTCTTAATTGAAACATGATTTACCAAGAGATACTCGAGGAACCAAAGAAATCGATAAGTATCCCATGCATCGCAAGAGGTTTCTACCTCTCCGGGAAGTCGGACCCATGCGAGGTCCGCAGCGGTGCGCCGTGAAGTGCGCGTCGGCGGTGCAGGGGTTGTCCGGTCGGCGAAGCGGCGCGCGACTGGCGGAGGGTCGTGCTCGCGCAGGATCGTCACGGCGCAGGCTCGGGCCGTGCGCGCAGCATCTCTCGCCGGGAGTCCTCGGCCTCGGGGCCGCTCAGTACCAGAGCTCCACGCGTCGCAGGTGGACCCACAGCGTCGGGCAGCCGGGACTGCCGTCGGCTCACCGCGGACTCCCCCGAGGCTCGAATGGGATAGAACCGGCCGATCGGTCGGAGTATCGGCTCGCCGGAGGGACCCGAGAGGCGTCCAACCCTAACCTGGACTCATGGCGGACCACGACAACATCTACGACGACGAGGTAACTCGCGAATCCTCGGTCCGCTCTCTCTTAGGAGGCGACCCCGAACCGTCCTAGCCCCCTGGCGCCTACCACTTTCCTCGGCGCCCACCACCGCCACCTTTACCCTGCCTCTGCTCCCTAGGGCAACAGGCACTGCACGCTGCTTATTTCGTCGATTTATTTCATCCCACTTTCCGCAAATGTTTTTTATTATCCCAGGAGAAACGACATTCCCGGACACTTCGCGTACCCAGATAACACCATTGTACCTATGAGTATTCTTTAAATCTTTTAATATACTCTGGATATTTGGAAAATTTAGTAAATAATACTCAGATTACACCATTGTACCTATGAATTTTTTTTTAATATTTTAATATACTCTGGATATTTGGAAAATTTAGTAAATAATACTCAGATTACACCATTGTACCTATGAATTTTTTTTTAATATTTTAATATACTCTGGATATTTGGAATATTTAGTAAATAACACTCAGATAACACATGAATTTCCTTTATATCTTTTAATATACCTCTGGATAATTGGAATATTTAGTAAATAACACTCAGATAACAACATTGTACCTATGAATTTTTTTAAAATCTTTTAATATACTCTGGATATTTGGAATATTTAGTAAATAACACCCAGATAACACCACTGGACCTAGGAATTTCCTTTATATCTTTTAATATACTCTGGATATTTGGAATTTTGAGTAAATATTCTATTATATACATCCATAAGCCAGAACATGCTTTGATTGTTCTAAAAAATTCTGCGTTCCGTGCTCTGTATATCTGAAATATTTGCATCTTATTCTAGAACAAGGAAATATTCTACGTGAATATTCGTAGAACATTTATAGGATCCAGGAATGTTATCTGGGTAGACCGATTATAAATACGATACTGGCTGTGAGTAGTTTTCATTCGCGGATGATATACGTATAACATAAGGGTGATATATGGATATATAGTAGGTACAATGTACACAAGTGTATAATTTTCTGTGTATTCTTTAAACATCACGGGGTGTTATAGATATCAATTATTTCGCGTTCGGCAAGTGTCGTAATTTCGCCAGAAGTTGTGTTAAGATATTTTCTAAAATTCTAAAGGTGTATATTTTTGAGAGGGTAAGCTTACTTTCTTATTTCGAAGGGGGCTTAACGATATCTCGGACGATAGGGTAGTTTTCCTCGATTCCGTCATATTGGACCGACCCTCTATAGTCGAATTGGCGCCTACCACTTTTTTATCCCACTGTTGGAATGTTATCACGAATTGTCACCCTTCGTGTGACTGAAATTCTAAAGAAGCCCGGTATTACCCACGAATCACTATACATCTAATCGTATTAATTAACAAATCACGGATTATAAAATGTTGCAATTAAATCCGATAGATATATATTAGATTTAAAAAACAATTTTTCATCAACACGTGTATACCTACTAAAATAGTTTATTCCCATAAAAATAACCTGATTCTTTTTTGTTACATTATAACTTAATTGTAAATTATTTATAAATTGAATGTACTGGTACAAGGGAACGTTTTTTTATCTTTTCAACTCGTAAAGGATTTATAGATATAAGAGAAAAGCTTTGCCGAGTGTTATCACGTGGCGTTGAAAGTATAGGTACATAGAGAATTTTTTTACGGCACATAAGGCGGACCGCGATATCATCTATGATGGCGAGGTATTATAGTTCGAGTATCCCTCGCTTCTATTTTATGTTGGACCGACCCTTTATAGCCTAAGCCGACCACTCTTCTCTGCTAGCAACACATACCATCTTGCTGTTATAACTTCCCTCGTCGGTAAAAATGTCGACACATGGGAAATACTTTTTATGTCGATTAATGTATAACCCAGAAAGGCTCATGCGTGGATGAAATGTTATTCACCAACAGTTTGTTCCATTTATTACGTTGTTTTTTTGCTAATCTGTTCCTAGAAATGCATGTTTGAGGACATGTAACATGTTACTTTATTAGTGGAAAGCATTTTTGAAGGGTTAGAAGCGCCGACGAGAAATTTGTTAATAGCAATTCGAGGAGTCGAGTGATTTTTAGTAAATCGCTTAAATATATTGTTCCGAATATGTATTGGGTAGCACATTTTTTATCCGGTCCAGTTTCTTTTAGATTTAATTTTTCGAGGGGTTTATTTAGAAGTGTACACGTCAGATCTATTCAGGTATAATTTTAAAGAAAATTACGGTAAATTATTTTGGTGATAGTGGATGTATTTCTTTTTTTTTTTTTTATATATAATACTGAATTTTTGTACACTTAAAAGAGATGGGGGAACGTTTGACTTTAGAAGTTTACAACTTAGAGCGGGAAGATTTTGGAGAATTATGCGAAAGCTCATTTAGGAGCTTTAAACTTGAGTCGTGTTTTGCGATAATCGTTTTTAATGTTGATTTTTAATTCTTAATATTGACAGTGATATTTTCCAAATAGCACGTGCAAGCTTGTGGGGTTAAGAGTTATTATTTATTTATATTTCATGATTATCTTTATTGCTGAAGTATATAAAATTGGACATATTGTGTATCATATAATTTTTATTTAACTGTTTACATCTTCTCCTTTATTTTCAATCTATTAACACTAAACGTTCCGACAATTTATAACCCCATTACAATACATGCATTACATACATTACATACATTACATCCATGCAACTGTAAGTAGAGCGTGCCCTTCAACAGCAGACTTTACGTTATCGTTGACTAATTAATTATTTTGTCATAATTTATTTCCCAAAAGCAGTTAATTAAATTTTCTTATTTACCATAGTTATCACATAACTATGATAAATAATAAAATGAAAGGTGTATCACATACACCTTTCATGTACTCGATTTTTAAATTCATTGCAGGTCTCAGAATCTTTGGAAAATCAATCCTTCGACATTTTGTTATTCTTAATCGCGCGGGTCGCGAATATTTTGAAAGATTATTTTTTTAAATTATATATCTTTACCGCCCTCAATATTTCCATTACTAAAGGATTTAGATCTTGAAATGCTGAAAATGTGTAGAATGGTGTACGGAAGAAAAGATCCTGAAGAGATGCCTTCCGTGGGTACCTCTATCTTTGACCACCGTCTCATGAATAAAAAATTCCTCATTTCCTCCCGACATGTGCCGCAAATGTCCAGAGGTACTTTCTACCTATTGTCCGATAAATACGCAATCTCAGGTATTTTCAAGAAATCCGGGAATGCTTCTTCGTGACGACCTCCTGAAATTTTTGTGTTTCCTAAAATTTCTATTTCTTAACATTGATTTGCTACTTACACATATACACAGATTATTAATCTTTTACTAAAATAATATTTTTATCGTTACACGTTCTCATAAATACACTCCCTGTACATGCGCTAGCCTAATATATAAACCCGAGTAGACGTATGTTAATAATATAATTAATTTTTACATTGCATGAAGAAAGGAACATTTACCCAGTTTTCATTTCTTCATAGCCGAGCAGTGTTCTTTGTTTTATCTCCTCGTGCCGAAAAAGAGCTTGAAATTCTTCCTACCTTCATCACAGGAATTGTTTAATTTATTTATTGTATTAAACATTAGCATTACCATTGTATTCACTTAGATCTATACGTGATATGACTAAATTATTAAATAAGTAACGTAATATAACTGATTTACTAAATAAGTAAAGAACGTATGTGGAAGTATGTACTTTTTCTCTTGTCGCGGTTGAAATTATAAAACAGTGAATCCGAGAATAGTACATATTGTTTAGTTTACGGGTCTGCGTTGAACGGAATTAAATGACGAAGCGGCATTGATTTTTGCATTCGATATCGAATAAAACGAAATGGCAAACTGTCCATGGTATTTGCTGTTGCCGACTGATAGAAGACCCCGTCGAGTTATGGCGTGCATCTGAGCTCGATCTTTCATCTAGTCGAATAATAACAATTAGAAACTAAATGTAATCAAATAAAGGAAAAATAAGACTTTTGCCTTCTCCGAGATCGAATAAAACGAAATGGTAAACCGTGCATGGTATTCAGCGTGGCGGACTGATAGGATTTCCCGTCGAGTTATGGCGCCCATCTTTCATCTAGCCGAATAATAAAAATTACAAACTAAATGTATCCGAATAAAGGAAAAATAAGACTTTTGCATTCCCCGAGATCGAATAAAACGAAATGGCAAACCGTGCCCGGTATTCGGCGTGCCGGACTGATAGGAGATCCCGTCGAATTATGGCGCCCATCTTTCATCTAGCCGAATAATAAAAATTACAAACTAAATGTAATCACATAACGAAAAAATAAGTTTTTTTGCATTCGTCGAGATTGAATAAAATGAAATGCCAAACCGCGCATGGTATTCAGTGTGGCGGACTGATAGGATTTCCCGTCAAGCTATGGCGCCCATCCTTCATCTAGCCGAATAATAAAAATTAGAAAGTAAATGTAACCGAATAAAGGAAAAATAAGACTTGTGCATTCGCCGAGATCGAATAAAACGAAATGGCAAACCGTGCCCGGTATTCGGCGTGCCGGACTGATAGGAGATCCCGTCGAGTTATGGCGCCCATCTGAGCTCCACACCGGCCCTTCCGCTATCGATTCCGGTAGCTGAAAGCAGCTGACTGCTGGCCGACTAGCGCTGGTTACTCGCTCCACCCGTGGAACGACTACTTTTCCCTTTACCGACGTTGGAGAGGTCAACCTGGCCCTGGGCCACGTTGATATAACTTTCATGAAGAAAGCACGGGGAGGGTCAAGGAGCAAGGCGAAGCCCCTGTACCGCAAGCTCGTTACCGACGACTTCCTTTAAACGGGGGATGAGCACCATTGAGGATTCGCCCTGGCCCCTTGTCATTGCGACCCTTTGAAAAACGGGCTTCGAATTAAATTCCGGGATCTGGAAAGTGTCCTCCGCGTGGAGAGAGACGTCGAGTATCGGGCTCTCCAGCATTTTGGTCACTTCAAAGAAAGGGCGCCATATTTAATCGGTGT